TTTTAGTTTTCTTGTTTTGCCTATAAGTAATGCAGAAGTAGAGCGAATATTTAGTTCAATGAATATAATAAAAACTAAGCAAAGAAATCCAATGTGCGTTAAAACGTTAAACGCTATTTTATATATAAGATGCGGTTTAAAACGTGAAGAAAAATGCTGCCATAATTTTACTGTAGATGACGATCTCTTAAAATTAATGAATTCACAGAAAACGTGTACCCTTTGAGTCAGCAGCAAATTCAGCAGTTAGAAGTCGTTAAGGCTTTGTTTCCGAATGCTACTAAAGCTTTAGGACGTACCACATTTATCCAACATCATATTGATGTAGGAGACGCAAAGCCTGTGAAACAGCGTTTCTACCCCGTAAGCCCGGCTGTAGAGAAATTGCTTTATAAAGAGATCGATCGTATGCTCCAACTGGATATAATTGAGCCGTCGGTCAGTGCTTGGAGTTCACCCATGCGTCTCGTTGTGAAACCCAACAAAGTTCGACTTTGCTTGGATGCCCGCAGACTTAACGAAGTCACAAAAAAGGACGCTTACCCTTTACCTAGTATTGACGGAATCTTTTCTAGACTACCTAGCGCTAATATAATCACCAAACTAGACCTTAAAGATGCATATTGGCAAATTGAGCTCAGTCCTGACTCAAAGCCGTTGACCGCCTTTACGGTCCCGGGACGACCGCTTTATCAATTTAAGGTAATGCCATTTGGGCTATGCAATGCCCCGTCTACTATGTGCCGCTTGATGGATGAAATCATTCCACCTGATCTTCGACATTGCGTTTTCGGTTATCTCGATGACCTTTGCATTGTGTCGGAAGACTTTTCATCACATCTCGCTGTGTTAGTTCGTTTAGCGGAGAAATTCCGCAAAGCAAATTTGACCCTCAATATTGACAAAAGCCAATTTTGTGTCACAAGCATTAAATACCTAGGTTATATCATTGGTAGCGGAGGTATTCGTACAGACCCTGCTAAAGTGTCATGCATTTTAAACTGGCCCTCGCCTAAAAACTTGAAGCAAGTACGTGGATTCATTGGAGTTTGTGGATGGTACCGTCGCTTCATTCACAGTTTTGCCGACCTCACGTACCCAATCACTGAAGTGTTATCCTCAAAAAAGAAGTTTGTATGGACACCAGAAGCTCAACAGGCGATGGACAAATTAAAACAAATTTTGACATCGGCCCCAGTTTTATCAAACCCTGATTTTGAAAAGAAATTTTATTTGCATTAAGATGCCAGCGATTTTGGAATTGGTGCGGTTCTGGTTCAATTGTCCGACGACAGCGAAGAAAAGCCGATAGCTTTTATGTCCAAGAAATTGAATCGAGCTCAGCGCAACTATAGCGTCACCGAGCGTGAATGCTTAGCCGTAATACTTGCTATTGAAAAGTTCAGATGTTACTTGGAACTACAAGAGTTCGAGGTAGTAACAGACCATTCCAGCCTTCTTTGGCTAATGCGGCAGCAGAACGTTTCGGGTAGACTTGCTCGATGGATATTTCGCTTACAGCAATTTAAATTCGCTATATCCCATCGCAAAGGATAGGAACATATTGTTCCTGATGCCTTATCACGGCTATGCGAAAATGAAATATCAGAGTTAGATATGAGGCCGATCATAGATCTTGAATCAGACGCTTTTCAAGACGAGGGCTACGCAACCCTGAAAAACAAATTTAGTGAAAACCCTGACAAATTTCCTGATATGAAAATTGTTGATAAACTTTTGTATATTAGAACCGAACACGCTATTGGCGATGACCCCGAGGATAAATTCACGTGGAAGTTATGGGTTCCAGAGAGGCTCAAACACGAGGCCCTAAAGCAAGCTCATGACAGCCTCACGTCTTCGCACGCAGGCATACAAAAGACCATCGAGAAATTACGTCGTTATCTTTTCTGGCCTGGCTTAGCGAAGGATGTACGCGAGTATATTCGACAATGTGAAATCTGTAAGGAGAATAAAGCCCCCAATGTCACGTTACGTCCTCCAATGGGTGCTCATAGCCCTACTTGTCGACCTTTCCAAAAGTTGTATGTTGATCTGCTAGGACCATACCCTCGCAGTAAAAATGGCCATATAGGTTTACTCATTGTCCTTGACCATTTTAGTAAGTACCACTGGCTTCAACCGCTAAAAAAGTTTACTTCCGCTGCTATCCAAAAATTCCTTCTTGAGAATGTATTTCATAGCTTTGGAGTTCCTGAAACCGTTGTGAGCGATAACGGAACCCAATTCAAAGCTAATGACTTCCAAGCCTTCCTAACCGAATTAGGTATCAAACAGGTGTTTACTGCTTTATACTCGCCGCAGAGCAATGCTGCCGAACGCGTAAATCGTTCGTTATTAGCCGCGATTCGTTTGTATTTGAAAAACGACCAGTCTGAATGGGACTTACATCTCTCAAGCATATCCTGTTCCTTGAGATCTGCACTTCATCAATCGCTAGGATGTTCACCGTATCGAGCCTTATTTGGTCTGGATATGATTACTCATGGGTCAAACTACAAACTACTGAAGGAGTTATCATTACTTGAAGAGCCCATTGTACCCATTTCCCGATCAGACAACTTAGCGTTATTGAGAAAAGATATACAAGCAAGCATACGCAAGGCATATGACAAAAACGTTAAGCAATATAATTTACGTTCAAAACCTGTATCTTATAAAGAAGGCCAAGTAGTATACCGTCGCAACTTCGCTCTAAGTAAGTTCTCGGAAAAGTTCAATGCAAAACTAGGCTCACAATTTGTCAAATGTAGAATTCGGAAGAAGCTCGGCAACTGCTACTATCAGCTAGAAGACTTACAAGGAAAGGAAATTGGTACTTATCATGCCAAAGACATTCGTAGCTGATTCCCGCTAATATGCCGTCTGTCGGTGTTATATTATCGGGTTTTGTAATGGTCGTTGCTTTTCTCTCAGTGTACATACTTAGCTTTTTGT